GTTTCTTCCCCCCCCCCCCCCCCCCAGCCGCTCCCGAGGGGCACCTGCCACCCCCTGGTCCTTGTTCCTCCTGTTGCCGCCCCCACCTTCCTCCATGTTGTCACTCCCTCGTCCCGGTGTGGACCCGGGGGTTATCCCCTGCCGGTGCCCGTGCCCCTCGTGTCTCTAGTCTGCTCTTGCTCTGTTCCCCAATTTCATGTCACCGCTGTGCTTGCTTTTGTGTTGTCCAGTTCCAGCTCTCCTCTGCTTCCATTCTGCAGAATGGCTTATGTGTGTTTCCCCATAACCTGTTTTATTTTCAGTGCTCCGGCTTCCATCAGTGTGTTCCAAGGTGTTACGACAGAACTTAGCCTACCTTAGAACCGCATTGATCCAGCAGTGTTGTTCAGACTCTGTTTTTTTATTTGCATATGGCTTATTTCACTGACATTTTAAAAAAACCACTATTCCTTTTTCTTTCCTGAGATATGCTTGTTTAATGTTTTCTTAGTATTTGCTAGCTGTAGTTTTATTTTTTACAGTTTCTCTCTGGGATGCTAATTTTTATTCTGAAAGAAGAAATGAGCTATTTGTCTCTTACAAGGAGTTTCTAGTAGCAGCTAAGATGTGCAACTGCTGTGTCTAACCACACGTTTGCATACTAGAGAGATGTAGAAGCACACCTGGCAGCACGCATGCAAGGATGAGGTCCTGTGCAGCCTGCTCTAGGTGACCCTACTTTGGCAGGGTGATTGAACTAGATGATCCCCAAAGGTCCCTTCCAACCCCTAACGTTCTGTGGAAGTTGAATGTCCACTTGTGTGGCAAATGAATAGACTCTGGTGACTGAGTTCAAGCTGCAGTGGAAGTACTAATTACAATATTGTAGTTCACTAACTGAGGTGTTTTTCAGACTTTTGTATTATTGGTGGGAACTTTAGCTTCATCCATGACGATTATGCAGCGTGTTACTTGCAAATGCAACTGGGCAAGATGCCCATATGAAAGTATAGATAATGCTAAGGCTTAGTAGTTTATATTTGTGAAAGTAATATAAAGAATTCAACTGGAGGACAGTATTGTATTCTATTTTTTACATTATGGTAATAATGTACCATATCTTCGGGTATATAAAACTGGTGAAAAATTGTAAACAGTTCAGAAACTAAAACATTGTGTTTAATGCAGTTGTAGCAAAAAGGGGAAGAGATATGAGGGAAGAATGAGATTGCATCTACAACATGTATTAAAGCTTATATGAAAAGGCAAGAAAGTTTTTAGGAGGGTTTTGAATAAGATGAGCCTTTACAAACAGGTTTGAAGATGGCTTTCCAGCTGTAATGGGATGCATTCCTTGTATAGTGTTCTGACCTTATTTTTCTCTTCCTAGAATGCCCAAGTCAAAGGAACTTGTGTCTTCAAGCTCATCTGCCAGTGATTCAGACAGTGAAGTTGACAAAAAGGTGAAAGTTATATGTGGTTTATTACTACTGTGTTAACTCTTATATTTCAGGCTGGAGTTAAGGAATTAGGTGAGCATTATGTCACAACATGCGTATTATTCCATATGATTTATCAGACACATAACTCAACCCCCCCCCTGCCCCCATCTACAACAACAAAACCCACTTCCCAAGATTAGGGTTTGGGCAGATAGGATGCTTTTCGCTTTGCCATAAACTTGTTTTCTGAAATGGCATTTTGCTCTCTTCAGGGTTTTCCAGATGATATACCTAACCACAAGCTCCTTGGAACTCTTTGTTGCTTTGTGGCAAGTGGTAGAGGCTTCTGTATAAGCTGCCCCTGGTGGCAAGAATTTGGACTGATTTTGAGGACAAACAGGCCCTCACTTGTTTTGTTATCCGGATTACTTGTCCAAAGCAAAAACCTCCATTTGCGCTGTCCTCCATGTGCCCCTTGCTTATTTTGTTTGCGTGTTCTTTTTCTGTTTCTTACAGATTCTTAGGTATACTGTAATACCATCTGCTAGTTTCTCACTTAAAAGCTCAGACAACCTGAATGTCTTGGAGTTGATTAATTTTAACATGTTGAGTGTTTTAAATGTATACCTTGAGTGTTTCCATTTATTTTTAATAGTTACTTATACTTTTGTATAGGTGTACCAATCATGACAAACAAAAACTGAAAAAATCCCGCTGAATGTGTCTTGTTAAGAAATGCTAGGTGGTAACACAGGCATCACATTTTTTAGTGTAGCAAGTGAAGAGACTTGGTCTGCTTTACTGAGTTGGTTCAAATGTGACTTTGTTGCACTTTGCAAATTAGGCATTCATGGTTTTGGTAGGGAAATGTATTCCTGAAAAGACGTGGTTTAACAGTCTGCTTGGGCAGTAAGCTGCTTCCTACCCCCCCCCCCCCCCCAGGTGAGGCTAATTTTGGTATCTTTGTATTACTAGGGTTTTGAGGTGGGCAAGGTTACTATGTAACCATTAGAAATAGGAACTTTGTAGCATCTGCAGGTGTTCGGATTTACAGGTGATATCTGAATTTTTTAAAAACATATTTATCATGTTATGGACAGAGATCTGATGCCTATTTAAAATAAAATCTACTGTGATGAAGGTAATTTTCAGATCCTTTCTTCATTATCTCATCTATTATTTTCTTCTTTTTTAGAAGAGTTATAAGCTGTCCTGCATTTTGTTGCATGCGGTAGAAAGAAAAGTGAAATTTCCATCCGACTTTAAATTTTTTATTAAAACTACTGAACTGGCAGCATTACTGTGCAGAAAGAGTAGGCTTTTTGAAACGTGTTTTGATCTAATGAAATTGTCTTTAAGGCCAAAGTATCGTGGTAAACTTCACTGGAAACAGATTTAGGCTCACTTGAAGATTTTTTTATTTTAAAATCCAGTCTAAATGTACAGTATTGGACTCCTGCCTTTACAGAAGGAAGGTGATAGTGTGCATTGTGTAGTAGTAGTTTGTGACTTCTTGTGTAAATTTTTTTGTAACTTCTAGAATGAGTTGTGGTTCATGTTTTTCTTTTTTCATTCTTGCTCCAAGGCAAAGCGGAAAAAGCAAGCAGCTCCAGAAAAGCCTGTAAAGAAACAAAAGACTGGTGAAAGTTCAAAAGGTGCAGCTTCTTCTAAGCAGAGCAGTAACAGAGACGAGAATATGTTTCAGGTAAAATTGATGACTCTTACAGCCTGATTAAGGTAACATGTTATGTCATATGCCGTATAAATTTTATGAGGTGATCTGAGTATCTTGACAGCACAGCGCTTGGTCTCCTGAAGCCTTGGCCAAAGGGGATTATCATACTAGCATACAGATGAGATACTCAGAAAAAACATTGTCAGGTTTCAGTAGAGTAAAAGAATCCAAGTTGTAGCAATTGATCCATGTCTTTCCCCATGGTAACTCTTTGTGTAGTTATTTTGTCCATAAATACATCACTTGCCATGAGTATACTGTAAATATTAAGTCAGGACTGTCTCTACATGTAAATGTTTTTTAATCACGGCTCTTGAAGAAAGGTTCTTGGAAACCGAAGTGCGGACTCTTCATTCCTATTTAACTAGGTCAAGGGCAGCTTGGCTCCTGTGTTGTAAGACAGTGTCTTGGAATAAGTTTTACTTGTTCTTTTGATTTGTGATAGAAGTTTTTCTCACCAAACATCCAAAAAGATAGTAATTTTTGACATTGTCCTTGTTTTTAAGGCGAGATGAATGTATATTTTTCAGTAGTGGGATGCATACGTGAATTCAGGGTGTTGCAGTTCTTGGGGTTAGCTGACACAGTAGTAGTGTATGCTGAGAGCTGTGCAAGAATATATGTAGCTCAGAATTCCTGTTTTAGGGGGGTAGATCAAGACTGACTAAATGTCTCTGACTAGCTGTCTGGAAAGGAATTCTTAGAGACTTTGATTCTGAAGTTTATGAAAGGGTGTGAGAGAGCTGCTCAATAAGATGGCTGCAACACCGAACAAGGCAAAGGAAATAGTTTTGGACTGCAGCTGTGCAAAGTGATATGGTAAAAAAAAAAAAAAAAATCTTTTCTGGAGAGAAGACCTGATTAACTGATACTGTAATACAGGGGAGTTACTTTTAATGTATCAGTTCTCACTTACCACTTTGCATCTAGTTGGGAGGGAGAGCTTCAATTGAAGGCAATGCCTGGACTTCCTCATCAAAGGAAGAATATAGTATTCTTAGTTCTGCACGGGGCAGAACTTGGAACCATGTAGGAAAAATGAAATAGCGTCTTCTACATCTAATAAGGTGAACTGCAGATAGAGCTCAAAAAAATACTAGGTATAGGCTTTATGCTGTGTTTGTAATACATTCAGAAATTCCAGCCTTGGGGAGAGTGGTTACAATTTTTAATGCTCCCCTGATGCAAAAAAACTCCAGACCTTTTCAAATAAAAGCAAAAGTATTTGCGTGCTCTGATTTCTTTCAACCTTTTTGATCTAACATAATAAAAAGTTACTAAAAACAGACAGTAGAGTACTCCTATTAGTCTGATAAGAACAGGATTCTTCCAGTATTGAGTACAATACAGAAAAAATATTTGAATATCACCTTGACCTAAAACGTCAGTGTTACTTAGTCCCTGCCTGCCTTTCAGTTAATCAACAACAGTTTTTTTTAGATTGCTTATTGTGTTATGTGAAGCATTGTGAGTTTTTTTTCACGCTACATGAGGTTATACGCGTTAACTAAGATGCAACTATTTCAGTGTAGAAATAGCCGTGTAGGTCTGAGGACTCTTGCCCTCTCTGCCCACTACCCAGGAGAGCATGCTAGAACATCTAGTTGCGTGTTAATTTTTTACGTATGGTTTTGTTTGTTCTAGGACTTTTAGTAACACAAGAAACACTCATTTCTGCTTTCCCATGGCAGTAGAACGATCTCTGGTGTGCAAGTGTCTTTGCAGGGTAATGTACAAGTGGGGCTTCAATTGATGGAAATCAGGCTGTAAAGCGTCCATAGGATAATCAGAAATTCTGTGGTATCCATATTGTGTGTGGGAGTGGTAGCAAATGATGTGAAACTTTGAGGCTGCTTGTTCTACATATTCGGGCTGTGTTCTTAAAGTGTACAACTTTCCTTAATATACGGCTCGTATTGACAGCTTTATTCAGAAGATTCACCATTTTCATAAAGAACTATGTTTTATTATTTTTGTTTAAGACCAATTTGGTGTAATGGTATTCTTGAAAATAATTATCAAGCGTAGTATAATTGTAAGTAGAAGGAAATTAGTACAGTATAAGAGACCAAGTGTATTTTATTTAGCTGTGTGTCTTGGCCTTTTTGGGTTTTATAGATAGCCTAGTATACTTGGGAATTTGTTAAAAGATTTAGGTGCAGTTGCGGTGCGGAAATCTATATTCCTCCCATTTGTGATGTGTTGTGATGTGAAGGGTTTAGTTTGATATATTAGATTCCCGTCTGTGGCTTCAAGCCAGTGTGAGGTCTGCATCGTGTGCTTTGGTTAGTTTGAGAAATCCTGTCATCTACCTATACCTGATTTGGACAAGGTTTGTTAATACTGTCAGGATACAGTGTTAATGTCTATCCAGAGTGGAACTGCATCGCGTGATCAGACATTTCACTGAAATAGTTACTTCAGAAGTTGTCTCTGTGCTGTACTGTCTCACTTTTTTTTTTTTTAAAGGTTGTGTTATGTTTGCTTTTTGGCTTGAGAAAGAAGTTCTTCGGTTTCCCAGTGTAATGTCTTTATCTACTATAGGCTCCTGAAAGTAGGTAAAGATACAAGTTTATGATGCTCTGGAAAGGTGATTGGTTTAGCACATTAATTCTGAAACTTAGCGGGTCACTGGTGTGTATCACAATGTTTACTGTGTTGCAGATCTCACTGTTTACAGGATTCTTTATTGTGCTCCTGCTAATGCTATACTAACAGTTATCAGCTAAGAAGGAAGGATGCTTTTTAGCTGTTTCTGCTTCTGCAGTGTGTATACAGTTTAATCAAGACAAATGGAAATAGGAGGAAAAATGGTGAAGAATGTGGTTGCTGAAACTCATACAGGAAGTCAGTCGTGTAACTGTGAAAGGAACTGAGACACAGTTCAGTGCATTTTAGTCTAAGAAATGGAAAGCTGGAAATAATGCTTTTAATGTCTTCTGATTTGTGTAATTCAATAGAATAGTGTTATCTAAGAAACTGTAATGTTTAATAAAAAGCATATGAACTTGTCTATGAAGGTTAAACTACAGTAACTACGCTGTGATTAATCAGTACAACCCTTGGAACACGGTTGTGGATATAGAGATACAAAGGTGTCTTAGATCAGTGAAATTATTCTATGACTATCAGCTGCTGCACGAAAAAAGTATTGTTCAGAAATGAATCTGTGCCAGATAGTAATTGAAACTGTACTTTAGAAGCCTGTTTAAAGCATTTAGCAGGGGCAATTGTTTTGCATACAGTTCAGCTAAACATTCAAAATTTAATATGAGCATTCAGCTGAAATCTAGACAGTGGTGTAAAACCAAACTTAATTTCAGCATTTTCATATAGAGCTGTTTACATTTAAGGTAGACATAGTGATTGAGTAAATGTGAACTTTGCATTATTGCCCCTTGCCTTACTGTAGTTCAATTAAGACGTATAGTCTGTCCCTAAAATTCAAATCCTAAACCTTTTTACTGTATATGCAGCTGGTAATCTGCTATATTGTGTCAGATATTTTCCTAAACAAATCTGGAATTACTTGTCAATGTACTGATATTCTTTGGTAGCGCTGGGAGTACTACTGCTTGAAGCGGTTCTTATAGGTGACCTTAAAAGTCATTGAAGCATTAAAGGGTAAAACCAAGAAATGTTTCTGTAGGCTGTTTAGGGTATCCTTTGCCAGCAGTGCGGACAACTTGGTACCAAGTTTGGTCTGAAAGAACTAAGCTACCATGACATCATACCTTATTTTTCAATGTTAAATATGTAGTACTGTGAAAGTAGTTAATAAATCAATCAAAAATACTAGCTTATGAACTGTAATGTTTTCTTAATTTTAAAGGATGCTTTGAAGTGGGGAAAATACCTGCATCAGGCTTATGGTATCTAGGTGTTTTAAAATTAATTTTAGACTTAATTTAGCATAATATGCATAAGGAGCAGAATTACTTTAAGCAAACATAAAGCATTCTTCTTTTGTATCTATTTTATGAAATAAGAGGTTATGACTTAAAAATCTGTGGATGATTTTAGTTGATTGGAGAGTTGTTCAGGCTTTCTGGTCAGACAATGCTATAAGATGTATTTGGACCCTTGTTAAACTATATCAAGATGCAAGATGCGTAAACTAAGGAAGCTGAAAATTAAACTTAATGCTTTCAGGAAGGAATATTCTTTTTTAAGATTGTTTGCTTTAGAATGTGTTCCTTGTTCATAAAGTGTATCCAAAAGAGAAGGTGCACACAGAATTCTAAGAATTTCTTACACAAATTGCATTTGTTTTTATTATCTAATCTCTGCTTCTCAAATTCAGAATATTTTTTTAATTTATTCCAAAGTCATTTCATGCTATGCCACCTGCTGATAAACTTGAAGGATTTGGATGTTTTTGTGGAACACCTGGTACAGTGAGATGGTCTTTTAACCACAGTTCCAATGAAGTGCCATGAGGACTTGGGAGCATGCATGGGACAGTTGGTGGCTTACTTTCATTTCCATCCATATTTGCTGTGCTTAAGAAAAGAAAACAAAACCCCAAACACACGCCCCTCCAGAAACTGTAGTTCTCATTTGAATATCTAATTTGATTTCTGTATGTATGGAATGGACTAAAGTTTATATTTGGGAATAGAGCTCTCTCTTTTCCTGTTTGTTTACAGCTGCTGCAAACAAAGATGGTTACAATGTAGGCAAAATTTGCTTTCAGAAAACAGTAAATTAGTGGATTTTGTAAGAAGTAAGCTTGTTAATATGGGTATTTTTATTCTAGGGGAGCTATTTTTGCAATGAGCGTTGAATGCTCAACTTGTTTTAAGTTGTTCATCCATTTATGTAGTCATTACTGATTAGCCTAATGACTACTCTGGATTAAGCTTTTGATCTAGTTGTTTTTCTGGTGTTTGAAATAAGCTGTGGTGTGCAATGTCACAGGTTCAAGTCTGATGCTACTGGGAAGACTGAATGCTGAAATATGTAAATACCTAAAAGACCCTTATATGTGTTTTGACAGATTGGCAAAATGAGGTATGTCAGTGTTCGTGACTTTAAGGGGAAAGTCTTAATTGATATTAGAGAATATTGGATGGATCAAGAAGGTGAAATGAAGCCCGGCAGAAAAGGTACTGTTCTGCTTCGTGTTATTTTGCATTAAAACATTGTCTGTTATACTTTATTGCCACATGATATTTTTAGAGTAGTGTTTTTACTATTTTGTAATTTGTATTTTAACAGATGATTAGTTTTATGTGGAGATTATAAACAAAAGCAGAGCGGGTTCATTGGCCTGTTTTCCTAAATGGATCCTCTGTAATTTATGGAAAACAAGGCATCAGATACAAGCCATACTTTTTCCTCCTGCAGTAACTTAATCAACTCTATTTCTTTCTTTTAATACAATTGGATTTCTATTTCAGAATTCATTGAAAAGATTTAATTTATTTGTGATAAGATCTTGATTTCTTTAAGACAATTACATCCTTCAATTTCTATCAAATTCTAGGTTAAAATAATTTAAACATTAAATGTGACTAGTTTTGGAAAAAATATGTCAGGATTTTAGTTGAGGTGAAAACATGTCAAGTGTTTAAATTTTGGTACTATGCTTCCAATCTACAGGATAGCTTAAGTCCTTGTACCTTTATTTGCCACTCTCATGCCTGCTTTTTATGGCCTGACTTCACTGAACCATTTTCAGAACTTTGGCACCTACAAGAGGAGGATGATAGTTGCGGTAGTAGTGCTTTGCTTAATGTCATGATGTCATGTTGCTTCTGTTAAAAAGCCTACTTCTAATCATTTTGCATATTGCACCAGGGAGAGAGGTGAGTATGGAACGTTCTGCCCTGGAGATTGAAGACATTTAATGTAGAATCAGCCTAAGATTTGTTACATTATTCTAGTTTGTCCAGGAGCAACTCAGAGAATAGACATTTGGAAAGCTTGAGAAGCATTTTCAACATTCTTTAAATAACCACTGAAAACAGGTTTGTGTGAACAGGTGTACTGGTACTGTACAGGAAAAGTTCTTGTTCTGGATTTGTTGTTACTCCGTAACAAAAAAGATTACTCTGACTTCTAAGGACTTTAACCTGCTGTGTTTTGAAGTGGAAGTCAAAAGTGTATGCAATTTGAGTGGCAAACTAGAATGAGATTTGATGGGTAGGCCAAGTGACAAAAATTATGTGATGTAGATACAAAAGTTTATCAATGTGGCAAAAGGGTCTGCATGTTATTAGGATAAAATTAATAATAATCTCATTCAGTATGTGAGTCTAATATTCCGATGATGCACTTACAAGCTGCTTATCTAACTGTCCTAAAAACAGTATAAGCAGTTGAAACTGTGTAATGCAAAAAGAAAAAAAAGTCCAGCAGTTTAAATTGTATCAGATTGTTTCAAAGAGTAGGTCTGAGCTGCCTGCAGTTCATGTGGTATGTGATTCAGGGACTGATTGATGACATTTCACCCCCTGATAATGGTTAGCACACCTGACCTAACTATTTTCAAAAGAAACCTGCCCTCTAAAGACTGGTGGAAAACTGCTTAGAGTGGCTCTGTGCAGACTGCTCGCTGCTCTAAATTACGGTGGTGCTCTGAGAATACAAGGATGATAGAAGGAATAAAAAAGGCTATGAGCCCCAAAAACAGAATTCAGTTTCACCTGTTTTCAGGTCCTGCTCTGCCAACAGGGAGAAAGCAATGAAGGAAGCCTGATCACTGTGGGGGGAGAGTGGGGGGAAATAGTTGGAGGGGAAATAGTAGAAGAGCCAGGCTGGACAGAGCATGAGAGGTAGGCCTGTGAGTCTGTGCTTGCATAGAGTTGGCATACAGATTGGAGGAGAAGAATGAGGAGACTAAAGCACAAAAGAAACATGCGCCTGGGCTCGAGCTTGAGGGAGTACAAATTTAGAACTGAGGAGATGGGTTGTGGGGCACTGAATGATTGTTAATTGAATGTCACTAGAAGCTATAGTGAACTAGAAGTGAAAAATTACTTCTGTGTTGGTTTGTGAGTGCTAGAGAGTGGAACAGAGTCTCTCCAAAATGTTGCTTACAGTATGTGTTATTGACAGTGCTTTAAGATACAGGAGGGGAAGAAACCCCAGAATTCTGTTACTTTAAAAGTGCATAGAAGTTTAGTCCACAGAAGTGTGGCTTCTAGGAGCTATGGTTAAACTGAAGTGTTCCAAATGAGTGGTTTCATTTTGTAACAGATGGTTAAAGTAGTTCAAGCATTAATAGTTATGACAAAAACTTTGTGTATGAAACTAGCCTTGATAGTAATTATGCAAGATCCTGCACCACAGTTTTCTTTAAGTGTTTATTTTTAATGCATTTCAGGTATTTCTTTAAATCCAGAACAGTGGAACCAGCTGAAGGAACAGATTTCTGATATTGATGATGCAGTAAGAAAACTGTAAAGACAGAGCCATACAGAAACTTTTTTTCTTTTTAGTTGTATTAAGCGGTCTTTTTACATTGGCTTTTGTTTTCTAAAATATTGTTTTCCAAGCTATTGTATATTTGGATTGCAAAACGATTTGTAAGATGAATACTTTTTTTATGTGCATTAAAAGTGTATTCTGAGTGAGGCTATTTGTGTATACTTTACTAAAAGAAAATATGTTGCTTTCACCTCATGGTGTAAAATAAATAATATGTAAAGCATACGTGTTTATGGCCTTTTGGTTGAAGGTGTTTGTTGATAAGGCCACCTGATAGCTTTAGTCTTTGTTCTAGTTTCAGTTGAGTTAACAGTTAATAAGAATTTGTTTGCTGAGATTTCTTAATGTGTCCATTTATTTTTTTTCGTTTATTTCATACTCTTTGGTATTGCCCTGACAGCTTTCTGCTTTAAGACTTGATACGAACAGTGAAGACTTGGTAAAACACATTTTTGTAGATAATTTGAAGTACTGTATTTGCTAATTTACTGTATTTATTCAGATGTAATCAGTCCTGAATATATAGACTTTTTTGCATTACTTGCATGAAGTGTTTTACTGAACAATAACACTTGAACACAAGCCACGTGCTGTTTCTTCCCATTTTTCTATAGCTTGCTCAACTTAGAAGATACAGTTAGCCTTTTTTCTTGGACCCTAGATTCTGGAGTGTGATGCATAAACTTTTACATTGATAGACATATACCTCAGAGCGAGATAGTATTTAAAAGCTCCAGATGTGATTATTAGTTAGGTACCCTTTACAAGCTTTGTGTTAAATGGATTTTTAAACACATACTAACTAGTAGTTCTATACGAAAGAACAGTTAACCTGTCTTTGTAGGGCTTTTGTTAGTTTGAGAGTATTTTGCGTAAACAGTGATGGTTAAACTAGGCTGCAACACAGGTTAAACAGTCAAACGGTTAAAATTGGTTCAGCCATAATGTCTGGCTGTCATGCTTCCGTCCTGCCCAAACCTCTTAACTTGGCTTGCTTTGTGTGGTTATGTGTGCACAGCTGTTTTATCTTTTGCACAGAGGATACTTGGTGCTTACAGGGGAGCGCTGGTACATAGCGGATTCATAGCAGATCATGACTCTAGCGAACTGCGCTTGTCAGCCATGGTACTATTCTGGTAAGAGAAGCTTCTATCCAGTGGAAGCCTTGTTAGACTAGATGCTGGCTCAGCTGAAGGGCTTCTTGGTAGGTGTCGCAAACAATGGAATGAAGAAGGGACGATACAATGTTTGGGTAGAACTTGGAGCCATAAGGGATATGCCAGTATGGAAGGTAATGGTGCAAGATCAAAGTCAGCTAACATGTAATAACTACAGTGAAGAAATGTGCATTAGCGGAATTGAAGAATAGTTCATTTTCTGACTAATTCGGTTAATTGAAGGAAGAAGATGAAACAATTTAATGAAAATGGACATTTCAAGACTAAGTAGTGAATGTATAACTTAATTGATTTGGCTGTAGTTTTCCTATTTGATGTTAAACAATGTATTTTTTAAATTTTGTGTAGATAAACAGGACTTACTATTTGTTTAATTTTTGAATATCTTAATGTAACAGTTTATATTGCAGACATGCATGGAAGTGCCATACACAGACTGTTCCTGTGCTGCAGAGTTTAGAATTCAATACAAATAGATACTGGAAGGGTGACTTTATCAAATTAAGTATATATTATTTAGTTTAAATATTGTGTCAGATATCTCCACCTGTTTTTTAACTTACCCGTTGTTGACATATTGCAAATAAACTTAAGATCGGTTTTTGTATAGCTCAGGAAATCTGAGTTTTTAAGAACTACTTGAGGGTGAGTAAAAGGGTGAAGAGATGTTTTGTGGTAGCAGATGCATTTTTGGGCACAGCATTCTTTTTTGAATGAATGAAAGAAATTGCTTCAGATCCCTATTGACAGGTTATAGGTGTTTTTTATTTGCGATGTGTATATAGGATTTTTTTCCTTCAAAATTTTGCAACCAGTTTTCACCTATTTTACCTCAAAACTTTCATGTGGCTACTTTAAAGTGCATGATTAGATTAGAGGGAACATTGTCCTCACTTAGAGTACTGTAGTAGTAGGTCACTGGATGGCAGTTGTGTATCAGAGTACAATGTAATGATGTTCAGGGAGGTGGAGAATTAAATTCATTCATTTGGGAGGAGTAAGTGAATAAGTTTTAAGATAGTGATTAGTTCTCTTGTGGAGACTGGTGGTAGAGGTGTTCAAAGAAATTAGTACTTTGTTAACAAAGAACTATTAGTTCCTGTTATAGATAACCCCCTTGCTGAAATTATGATGGTAATTATCAGAGCTGTTTATCCCATTTTGCTTGATAAAGCTTGGGGCAGTTTCACTTTACTTAGCTTGTGTGTTTAAAAATGGTTTTCCATCTGCCAGTTATTTCTGCCTGTAATAATGATTAAATATCATGTATTTTACCTGAGCCAATCTAAACATCTACATGTATGTCCTACAAAAAAGCCAATCAGTTTCACAAATGAACTCAAAAAGGGATTAGTTGAAGTGTGAGGGAATCATTGCACCTCACATGACTGATGTGCTTGTTACTTGATAAAAACTTGACACATTCAATATTATTTTGAAATAAATAATTGGTAGTGATTTGTCATGCAATTATATACAGCTGTAGTCTTTCTAATTTGAGAACAAAATTCAGATTTTTTTGGAACAAATTTTATTTTCTTGCAGACAAAATGGTAGTTAGGGTTTGCGTAGAACTGTCCATGGAAGAAAATTGTGCATGTATGGAAAGGCTTTGTAATGTGGGATAAAAACACTGGTTCCTTTCCCACTGAAGTGGCAAAACAAAGATGCATTTCATTCTTTATGGAGGGCGTATTAGCAATATGTTTTATAATTAAACCTACTGTGGAGCTTAGCAGGAAAAATACATCACAGTTAGAGCTGCCAAAGTACCATATGTGTGATAAATCAAGCTGTCATGTACAATGTTGCTCTTATGTAGAGATGTTCATATTGAAATTAAACAAATGCAGTACTAAGTTTGATCTTTCTGTTAAAGGAAGTGCCCCAGTTACGCACTTCTTATGTGATCTGTTAGCAAAAAAATTGGTAATTGTAATTCTAGTAACTCAAATGTCATATTGTTAACCATGTGGAATGTTTTAATGTTTTGCGCTGGTGGTATATACTGCAGAGATGCCACTGGAAATATGAGCCCTCCAACTGTAATTACCTGAATGTTCAAATAAAAAGTAGTTAAATGGCACATGTGTAATAACAATTTGAACACTTGGAAATAAACAAAGACTTCTGTTGACATAGTGTTATTTTTGGTAGCAATGTAGCTGCACTAAAATTTATGCTTTCTTAAATTGTGATGGAAAACTGTTTGTTTTTTTGCAGCTTTTGTAATTTGGAAGTTTGAAACCATAATCATTTTATACTTGGTCCATGTTTGTGGATGGGGGATTGATTGTCTAGCCTGGAGGGACAGAAGTTCTTCGCTATGATAGAAGAATAAGTGTCATGTAAATATGGAAGCAGCAGATATAACCACACTTTCAAACAACAGACAGAAGGAAAGTGCCTGATAAGTCGCTACTGTTAAGAAAAAGGCTGATTATCTTTTTCAGTGGAGTTTCTTTTTGATCTGACAATAAATGTAACCATATGTTAGATATAGAAAAAAGCTTCTCACTCGTTTATTACCATTGGACAATTAGGTCAGTGTAGGCTTCTTTAGGAAGGATATCTGTTTTTCACATGCTTGCTGTGACTGATTTGTAGGGATTGGATTAACTGTAGCCTTGAACCTAACAGATTTTTCTGAAGTAATTTTGATCAGTTTAGCAGTTTATAGCCACAGAAGGAGAAATTACTGTGGCTCAAAGGGAAGAAGGGGAGTTTGGGGATGATGGAGGATCATCATGTCGTAACTATTTGTCAGTTACTGCTGTCTGCTTACTGATAGGATTCATCTTTTGCTGTAGCTCTTGTGACTGTATGGAAGAGCAACCTATAGGCAATGTTTTTTCTGTTATGAATCAAGCCTGTATCTCCCCTGCTGTCATTTAATATTGTTACATGGAAATGTGAAGACACCTGCTGAGGAACTGAAATAAATGGTCCTTGTCTTAGTGATGTTTTATCAGGGAAGCATAAATCGTGCTGTCTTGTGAGCAGAGGGCCATGCCATTAGTCATGGGGGTTACTTAAAGGCTGAGAGCTTCGTGACAACTGTTCCCTTGATACTGCTCTTCATTTACAAATATGTTTATTTTTTTTTTTCCTTTTCAATGAATCCATATGCTTGATAGGATTGCGAATGAGGTAGGATCTGAGTGTGGGTTGAGGACTCAAGTTTCTGAAAACATTTCTGCGCTTTGGAGGGAGGTGGGCTCTCAGTCGTAGAGGTGAAGGGAGCTTGCTGTAAAACTTCAGAAGCTGGTGGTATGAACAGGCTGTTCTTGGAAATCTCTAGCTGTGTTTGATAAGGCTAAACAAGAAAAACATTTTATGCATGCTTTATTGGCCAGCATGCTGAATGGACTACTGTGAGTTATCAGTTTACTTGGGCAGAAGTTGATGAGATAAAAGCTGCTGAAGTAAAGACATAATCGTGTTACTTGTGTTGTTATCAAAAGAACTGTTTCACACCTTAAGAGTTTAAATATTCTGTGCTTTCACTAATAGGCTAATATGTTTGAATAATTTTCAGGTTGTTGAAAATAACCCCCATTTCATTTTAGGAATAGAAAGCCTAGATTGTTCTAGTCATTAAAATACTGTCACACAATATATCTGAGGGCGAGGCAAATTACACTGTATATTAAGAACAGACTGGAGATTGATGTGACCCTAACAATTTCTTGAAATTGAAAGTTAGTTGGTATATAGCAATAAAACTTTGCAGGCTGTCTGTGGTGTTGATTTTATGTAATCTTGGAAGGTTTTTGCTAGCTGTCTCAACACGAAGTACCTCTGCAGAGCTCTGCCGTTTCCTCTGCTTTCCATTTGCCGTTCCTTACTGAGGCCAGCAGCTGCCTTTGCATTTCTTCTGTTATTTGTATTCTGACTGGAAGTATCCTTCCACCTCCTGGAACACAAGCGACTCTGGCAACACTGATGTTGACACAAGACAAGGAGCATCTTAACAATTGCATCCCAGAGATAGTTGGCAGACATAGCGGCTGTTGCTAACGCAGACCAGTTAATGGTGGTATGTCT